CATTACAGTTCGTCGCTAATTTGCGACGAGTACATTTTTCAACGAATTTTTGCGACGAACTTTACGACGAATTTTGTGACGAAATTGCGACGAAATTTGCGATATAATTTGCGACGAATTTTGCGACGGTTCATCGCAAATTTGCGACGAAATATTTGCGACAAATTTTGCGATGGATTGTATTCGTCGCTAATTTTGCGACGAAATTTGCGACGATTTTGCGACGAAATTTGCGACGAATTTTGCAACTAATTTTTGCGACGAATTTCTGACGAAATTTGTGACGAATTTTTGCGACGAATTTCCGACAAAATTTGCGACGAATTTTGCGACGGATAGAGTTCGTCGCAAATTTGCGACGAAATATTTGCGACGGATTGTATTCGTGGCTAATTTGCGACGAATTTTGCGACGAATTTATGTTCGTCGCAATTTTGCGACGAACTTTTAAATTTTCCGTCGCAAAATTTTGCGACGACCTAGTAGCGACGGAATTTTTTCCGTCGCAAATTCGATTTGCGACGGATTTTTCCAAATTTTCCGTCGCAAATTTCGTCTCTAATCCGGTGTTTTTTTGTAGTGGATAAAGATTAACCATTTGCATTCACAAAACGATGACTCGTATCGTTAACTCCTAAAGTAAGGGTTTAAGTGACCACCGTTAGCTACCCCTAACATACATCTAACAATCACATGCAAGACAACGGATAATGCATGTACTTAGGCCCACGGGCCTTGTTTCTCAATCAAACAAGCAATGGATAGTGGACCTTAAGAGAGGTCCACTTGTTCAATCATTAATTGCTAAATTCGGACCCCATTCTGTTTGAGTGTGGTTAATTGGCTTAATAATGCTCAAATGAAGTGATTCAGGTGTCATTAGAAAGATGATTTCATGAGGATCAAAGTTCATGAAGATCACTTTTTCTAATTTCCCATCGATTTTCACGAAAATGACAAATTTACCCTCGGAGACGGTCTGAACCCTGTTTGAATTTGAATTCAGAAAATATTGTGGGAAAAATAGTGAACGTTATCAAAACCCCACCAAATTTTTTTTGTGGTTATGATTCTCCATGTGTGATAGCTTTCATGTTTTGATTTTTTTCTAAAAATGCCCCCGATTTTTTTTATAAAATTCGGTTTTCACCAAGGACTCATTTGCAAATCATTTTTAAGGCCTGGAGGACCTTATCCGAGATTTTTAGAAAATTTACCCCCTAAACATTGCTATTAGGTCCCCAAAATTTATATTCGACATAATAAGACCCTAATAAACAACTTTGTAGTTTTGAGTTTTCGCAAAAAAGGACTTCAAGTCTATCAAATTCGGAGAAGCATGTTTTAGAATTTGGAAGAAGGAATTTCAGATCTGGACACAGAATCTAATTAAATAATGAAAAATTCCTTTGAACATCCAAATGAACTCATATTTTTATAAAATTGGTACCACCATAAAGTTCTGGATCCTTAGTGTGAACTTTTATGAGGAATATTTTTCCAGATTTTGAACAGACGAATTTATAAAAATCAAAAAACACAAGAAGGTCGGTCAGAAACTCATCTTTCACAGGAACTGAGCTTGATGACGATGCTAACCTAACATGCTTTGAATTTTAAGAAAATTTTACAATGGATAGATCTAGATGTCTCTTAAAAATTTCATGAAGAAAGTTTTCTCAAATGATGAACATAAAAAATCAGAAAACCGAGAAAGGTCATTCAGTAGCATATAAGAACAGAACACAATATAATGATTCCAGATTCTGATATCAATTTTCAAAAGATTTTTGACCTAGCAAACGATGTCCGTTGAAGGCAAACAACATATCAAATCGAAGATTAAGACGTGCATTTTGATTCTCTAGTTCATCATTTGGTAAGATTCTAACATTTAAGAGGTCAAATCATCATTGTAAGCAATCAGGTCATCAGGATCCGAGAATCACCTATTTTGAACTCACCTTGTGTTTTGACCCTTCGATGTACAACTGAGCGATCCGGCCTCCATATACAGCCTTAGGACACCACGGAGAAGCCTCAGAAAGCTCGACGGACCTCTGAAAGTAGAGTACACAATTCACGGTGAAAATTGATCCGGTTTGATCAAATGAACTATCAATTGAAAATCAAGTAAAACAAAGCAATCCGGTCGCTTTTCGGAGGGAGGTCGGCCACCACAGCCACAGGAGGAAGTCAAGGAAGACCCGCTAGAGGTTCAGAATCGCCAGAGGGAGTCATCAGCAGGCCGGTTCAGCCCGTTGAACCGGCTGATCCTATCACAGGCGCCTATGCCGGTGATGTTGCCGAGGAAGAAAAGGCGCTGGACGGAGCAGCTCCGGCCACCAGCAAGGGCGGCTGATCTTGCAACGAGCCTTAGGCCACCATGGAGGACGGTGGTGAGGCAACAGCTGCCGGAAAACGGCTGGCAAGGGGCGAGGGAGGCGGAAGAACCAGCGACTGAGACAGATCACAAGAGAGGGAGAGAGAACGTGAGCTAGAGAGAGAGAGAGAGAGAGAGAGAGAGAGAGAGAGAGGGGTAGAGAGGAGAGAGAAATTTTCTGAAAAATGATAGTTCTCCATATTTTTTGGAGGGAAAAAGCTTATATGCCTCCCTCAATTTTGAATTCTAGCTCTTAGTTCAATCTAATGGCCTATAATGCTTCCTTAATGATGAAGAATATTCCTTAGGGGCTAAAGATAGGTGACATGGCATTATAGATGTCCATGATCTATTCTAAATGAATGGTTATGATTGATTTGCTTAACCCCTACGTAATTTGCTTAATCCTTAAGTAAGGGCATTTTAGTAATTTCCACATAGGGGCAATTTTGTAATTTTCAATGCATGAGAAAGGGAGGGGTCACTGGCCATGCCTTAGGCTGATCTGGGATGGTCGGGAACCGGCCAATGGTGGCCGAAAATCGGCCATCTCGCCAGCGAACTGGTCAGACCGGCTTGGGCCGGTTCTACTTGGTTCGGTTTATCCTTTCAAAATTTATTTTATGCAATCAAACCCAATTTACGCTTCGAAGGACTAAATTGCAAAGAATTTTTGCCCTATTAGCCAATTTGTGAGCCAAATCAGAATAATCTACTCAAACTCGGTTAATTAAGCTTGGCCCAATTCATTCCCGATGTCCAATTGGTTAAGTTTGTCCAATTTTCAACATGGATAATACCAATTCCATCTCAATTGACTTGTTTTGCACAAAATTGGGGATTTTCATCAACCGGTACAATTTATGGAATATTTATCGCTAATTGGCGAAATTAATTCTAATTAAACCTAATTTATTCAAAGAATGATCGATTGATTCAATTAGATAGGCTTGAAACCTTCCAATATGCTCAAATTGGCTTTTACGCAATGACTTGATTTAGACCCAAAAACGAATTGAAGTCTAATCGTCAAATTGGAGCTCAATTCATTAAATTGAACACTAGATTAGAATGGGCCAAGTCAAATTGTACCAATTGAACCAATCTAGTTTGATTTCGCAAGCTATCGATTGGTTAAATTGATTAAATTGACTTGAATTCATGTGAATTTCTCAAAATTGATGCCAGGTTTGAGTTTCATATAAGAAAATGGACTTATGGATGGCTTAAACACATTATTCATGAAGAATCGATCGGAATCACTGATTAGGGCCTAAATTGGGGATTTTTACCCTCGGCTCGGAATTGTGAAATTGGTTTGAAAATTGAATGTAATACGACCTATAGATCAAATGTCATGAAGGAAGCTATCCTAAAAAATGACTAGAAATGAAGTAATTTCATTTTTGGCCGATTTGAACCAAATTCCGCAAATTGGGGAAAAGTTGATTCTAAACCGATTTTTGTAAAATTGATGATGCAAAAGTGAAATTAAGCTAAAAATGAGTTGATTTAGGGGTTTTGAAATTTTTGAATTTTTTTTGGACAAGGTGCTGACCAAAAGTCAACATTTTAGTACTTATGTACTAAAATGTCAATTAATGGGTCAAACTTTGAATTTTTTTGAAAATTGATAGTGCAAAAGTGAAATTGACACTATTTTGGGGATTTTTCATGCAAAAAACCAAAATTTGACTTTGGCTTGACTTTTGGTCAAAGTTTGACCAAAAGTCAACTCAAAAGTCAGCATTTCAACTTTTTGAAATTGAAGTGCAAAAAGCTAGAAAATGAGAGGTTAATGCTAATTTAAATGCTAAATGACTAGTTTTGATTGAGAATCGGGTTTTGTCGCGATCAGAAACCCTAATCTCAAGTTTTAAGCTTTCAAGACTCGTCGACTATAAATCAAGTGTTAACAGAGGCTTATTTATTTAATAATTTGGTTGATTTTCAGCGAAATGAGGATTGAGGATGCATTCGATGTGTAATCTTTTTGGATAATTTTCATTAACAGTCATGCTTTTGGAGCAACTTGCTTTCAACTTTAATTTCGTTTATCAAATGCATCAAACTTGTACTTACTTACACTTTGATGAACTTTGGTTGTTCTTCGACCGAGGCAGCCATGACGCCGGAAGCATGTCAATTGCTAAGTAAATGATGGTTCAACTTATTTGGTAACGAAGTTTAAATTCAATGTCCTAAATACAACTTTAATTTCGTTCATCAACAATTGTCCTCACATGCAACCTTTTAAATATCTAATCTGTTCCTCATTAAGGCTTGCGAAAATGTTATGTTCTCGTGTTGTTTGATTGACTGTTCAAGTGCTCTCGGCTGACCTGTTCTTGTGTTGTTTGCATGGTTGTTCTGTTCAAGTGCTCTTGGCTAATCTATTCTTGTGTTGTTTGATTGGCTATTCAAGTGCTCTATGCTAATCTATTCTCGTGTTGTTTGCTTTGCTATTCCGTTCAAGTGCTCAAGTGCTCTTGGTTGTTCTATTGTTTGCTTGGTTGTTCGAGTGCTCAAGTGCTATCGACTAATTTGTTCTCGTGTTGTTTGCTTGACATATCAAGATAACATGTTAATGGAGTTTGATCATAGAATTGGAATTATTGGGCAATGAAAATGAAGAAGAGCCATCCCCTACCATGCGTGCGACAAACAAGGTACTTGGTTCTCCTTTTCCTCCTCGTGATTATACGACAATAAAAAATGAGGATGGAAAAACATATTTGGTGAAATGCATTCTTTGTGGGTCTGTGTTTAAGTACCATGTTGCTAAAAGTACTTCTGCAACGAGGAAGCACTTGACAACGTGTAAGAAGTTTCCTCGCAATGTAGATAAGAGGTAGAAATTCTTTGCACCATGTAATGTAGACATGGCTGGCAAGGCAAGGGGAGATTCTACTACTAGTAGTGTATTATTGACATGGTAATTTAAGTAAGAATAATATTATAGGCAAATGCTTGCTCGGTTCATCATAATTGACGAACAACTTTTTTCCTTGGTTGAGTGTGTCAGGTTTCGTAAGTTTGTCATTGAGTTACAACCTTTCTTCAAACATTTATCATGTTTTACGGTGGTTAGAGATTGCATGAAGCTGTTTTTCTGTGAAAGAACTTGTTTGAAGACTTACTTTGGTAATATTAATTCTAGGATCGCACTCATGACTGATACATTCCATTCAAAATCTGAATTATTTACTGCACATTTTATTGATGAAAATTGGAAGTTGCATAAAAAAATCATCAATTTTGTGGTGATGCATAGTCACAGGAGTAAGAAGATTGGGAAAATGGTGGAGAAATGCATCTACGAGTGGGGAATAGAAAGAAAAATGTATCCACAATCACCGTGGATAATGCTAGTTCGAATGATGTTGCAATTAGTTATTTGAAGGAAAAACTTTCAATAGAAAGGTTGTTGATCTTAGATGGTAATGTTTTACATATAAGGCACACTACTTATATATTAAACTTGATTGTGAGAGATAGCTTGACTATGGTACGTGAATCTATTGCACGTATCTGAAACCCATGAGTGAAAGGATCACTTACAAGGGTTCGGTTATTCTTGATGTCGCCACTAGATGGAACTCCACTTACCTCATGTTAGATACCGCCATAAAGTTCGGAAAAGCTTTGAAAGGATGGAAGAAGATAATCTATAGAAAAGCTTTTGAAAGGATGGAAGGAGACGATTTATCTTTTGTAGGTGAATTTAACCATGATCTTCCTAAAGATGATAATTGGGAAAATACCATTTTTCTTTCGAAATTTCTAAAACTATTCCATGATGCCACCAATTGGGTGTCGGGAAGTTCATATGTTATTTCAAATGATTATTTTAAAGGGATAGCTCTTTTGTATAAATATTTAAAACATGCGGTGGATGCTTCGGATCCTAAGCTTTAAGCTATGAGTACGAAAATGAAAGAAAAATTTGACAAATATTATGGGAGTTTGGATAAAGTGAATATGATCGTGTTGATTGCGGTTGTGTTGGATCTTAGAGCCAAGTTGAATTATGTGAATTTCCTGTATGGAAAAATTTATGATGATGAATCGAAAATTAATGAGATGCATTATAAGGTGAAGGACACATTGGAGCGTTTGTATGAATTTTATGAGTAATCTTCTCTTGCTTCAAGTGATCGAAATTTTGGTGTCCAAAGTTTGAGTGCAAGTAGTAGTGGTTCTAATACTGATGTCGGTGGTAACGGAAAAAAACAAGAAGTATGACCTCCAAGCTTGGTGGAGAACCTTTATGCACTCGAATCAAATATTATACGATAACAACAAAACTGAATTTGATCGGTATCTTGAAGATAAAAATGAAAATATTCTTGATCTTGACATTTTGATGTGGTGGAAGACTAGTAGCTCAAAATATCCTATCTTTGATGGCTTAGGATGTTTTGTCTATTCCCATACCTACTGTTGCTTCATAGTCAACTTTTAGTATATCGGGTCGTGTGCTTGATGGCTTTCGAAGTCCTTTAACTCCCAAAGTAGTGGAAGTTTTGATTTGCACTCAAGATTGGTTGAGAGTCGTTAGTGTGCCGATTAATGTTGAAGAATGCATCGACAATGCAGAAAAATTTGAGTTGAGTAAGTGATGTTTATGTCTTTATATATTGTAATTCTTTTTATATACCTAATAAGTGAATATTTTATGTAATATCTTCTTTTTTTAGACATGAATTGTCTTAATGAGGAGATTATCGTCGGTAAATAGAGTTTACCAGTTGAAGCGGAATGAATATATGTGATAAGGCTTTCTAATACTTATTTTAGTTTACTAGTAAATAGATATTGATTGTCTTAATACTTTGGTTTTTTTTGTTTTTATTTTTGTCTATTGTTGAAGGAGCAGCTAAGGTCATGTTATCTGTGATTCTGCTAATTGTTTGTGCATGCCTTTGATTTCATGGTTGTTTAAAGGAGGAAGAAATTTAATGGAGAACAGTGACCTGAGCTTTTGATGTTTGTTTAGATTAATCATGATGGTTTTGGCGAACCACTTTTTTTATGGAGATCCTACAAAAGCAACTTAATTCTGATCCAAGTTTGTTTGAAATGATTGTCTTCAGTATCTGATTTGCTCAATGATGATCCCGTTCTCACTGATTGCTTTCCCCAGCAAGCTTTCCTTCTTTCCTTCTGTTATTGCCTTTGGCTTTCACTTGTTTATTCGCATTATTGCTTCTGACCGCAATATGTTATTGAATTGGCACCATGCTCGTGTTGTGCATGTCAAAATGCAACTTGGGGCAAGCTTTAATGCGCCGAAGTAGTTTCATATTGTAGCTCTTCTACAATTTAGGCATATATTGGACATTGATATTTTCACCCCTCGCAGCAGTTTCTAGCTTCATCTTCAATATTGCAGGTGTGCTAGTTTGTTGACATTTCTATAAATATTTCTTCTCATCTTCTATTAATGCCTCATGTCTTAATGCGTGCTTTCATTATAAAAAAGTTTATAAGTTCTATGTTCCTGAGTTGTATCATGTCTTTGTGCCAAAGAAATTTTGGCATGAAAATGATCTTGTGCACATGTGGTTCGTTTCTGTGGTTTGACATAATCACGTGATGTCGTGGGAAAATCTTAAAATAAATTCTTCTTTTTACTAGGAATATCATAAGTGCCCATTCCAAGTGGTGATTTTAAAATCAGTCAAGATCAACTTGCTTTGATGACTAGAAACAAAAACTTTTCTGCTTAGGAGGAGCTTGGAGGGGTAATTTTACCAAAAGAGCATGCTTCGTGCTTTCTATTGAGAAAAATGTGACATTATGCCTTGGAATTTAAAACCATATGTGTTGCATCCCAATAATTATTATTTGTCATTCTATCCCCTTTTTGTTAAGAAAAATATGGTTTTCCAATAACTAGTCTTTTGTATTCTTTTTGGTGAGTGACAAGTTTGTTCAGTATTATTGCGTTCATTTTTATTTTGTTTAACTAAAAAAGAAAAACATGTTAGACCCTAGAACTGACCTCGGAACCTGTGATAGGGTCAGTTTCAGGTTTCAACGAGTAGGTTTCAGGTTCCAAAAAAAGAGAAACCTGTACCCGAAAGTAGATTTCAGGTGAAACATGTAAGGAACCTAGAACCGCTCACCCCTATTGTGCAGAATTCCATGTGATACTTCCAATAGCAATTATATTTCTCAACATTCTATCCAATAAAACTTCAAGATTCGGATGTATTCCATTCATTCCAAAAACTCTAAGCTTTGGATTGGCTTGTCATAATAAACATGTTCGTGAATTGATCGTAAAAGACGAATTTTAAAAAAGTAACAAAAGAAGGGATAAAAACCTGAGTTTTTCTCTCTCACCATTCATCAATTGCATCAATGGTTTTCTTCCTTGAATCCATCCTAATCCTATTTCCTTCCAAAGCAATTGCTTCCATTTTATTCATTCTTCCTTGAGATTATCTCACTTACTCTTCTTTTAATTTTTATCATACTTTTTGCCTCTTGGCTCCTCGAACTTATTATTTATGATTGTCCATCCATCCCTTTTATTGTTTACAGGACGATTGCCTTTTTCAATATGTTGAATGTACAACTTTCAATAGGTTTTCAGTGTCATGAACAAATCTGAGGGGCACAAACAAACGAGATTAACCATGTACTAATTAGAATGAACACATGCATTTTGTAACACACAAATATGCAATCTCAAAGGCCCTAAGATATGATCGCAATCAATAATTAACCAATTAGTGAACTCCCCCTCCTTACATTTGATTGGGACAGGTCCACCGCATTTCCCCTTAAAGTATCAACTTGAAAATGACACTCAGGGTCAGAGATCAACTCAAACATCACAATGCAACTAAAAGAAAATGAAAATAACCGAACCCAATAACTTATTGCAATCCTTATCCAGATTCACTAGTTCAGCTTCTAACCCCGAAAATCAAACAAAAAAACACCACATGCGAAAGGAAACAAGCATCCATTCAACAGATCCTTCGCTAACTAAGATCCCCAAGCGACTAAGCATCATATTCAGACAAAACAATCCAAAAGCGACAACCATAACATCTCGCGATAGCCGCACACATCACATATTACAAACCATGAAAAACATAGATCTAAGCAATTGAAAGCAGATCCTCTGAGAGAGAGAGAGAGAGAGAGAGAGAGAGAGAGAGAGAGAGAGAGAGAGAGAGAGAGAGAGAGAGAGAGAGAGGTCACGAATCGTAATCGTAAAATATTTGCCAAACACCCCAAACCTAAAACCTCTTAGGAAAGCTGAACTAAACGTAATCGTAATTTGTTAGATTCCAAAGAGGTCATGAATCGGATGCTTAACTTTGAAGGATTCATTAGTCACGTGCCCTACCTCTCTAGAGTGCAAGGCGCAGCTTACATTTGGGTTTGTGACTTTTTGAAGTGGAAGAGTAGATACTAAAGCAGTAAGATTGTTGGCCAGCAATGTGGGCAAAAGGTTCTTAGAGGTTACAGGCGAAGGTGTGAATTTCCTTAGATTTTGACTACGATTGTAAATTTGTCCTTGTGGACAAGGGATGTTGTGGAATGGGGTTTTTGTTGGGTTTTGGTCGGTGTTTGGGGTTGAATTTGGATGGCTGTTGGTGTTGGGGGTCGCATCTATTTAGGAGATTGGACATGTATGGGATTAGAGGGTCGGACATGTATTAGGCCTGAATATGCTGTATTCACATTGTTGTCTTTATCTTTGTCCCTATAGGGCTAAAAATCCTTTCTTGTTGTTTTCTTCCAAAGCTATGGCTACATCAATCGTCTTACCATTCTCAGACCAACTTCAATTCTCTCTTTGATGATGACAAAATCAGTGAAGTTCATAGATATATGCACCAACATGTGTGAGCAATATGTGGGCGTTAGATGTTCAAGTTAAAGTCGCCGTCTTCTTTTCTGACAAAGGTGGATAAGCTTGCGCAAACTTCTTTATCTTTTGGTGGGCAAATTTTTTCAAGCTCTCATTAATCTTCATTTCCATTTTCTACAAGTCCATGTGATTCGATGCAATTTCCACATCAATCTATACAGCTTTAGAAGAGCATTGGTGAGGTCAAACCAAATTTCAAGACTATCGAGATCTAGCTGGATGAACCATATGAGTGCTAATTTACTTAAACCTCTTGGAATGTTGTATCATAGGCATTCCATTCTTGCAATAATGGGCCATCTTGGCTCAATTCAACTTAAGATGGACAAGTGGGCATCCGATCCCTTCCTACTTTGTCAATTGAGGTTTTGGGTAAATGCTATAAAAAACCTCAAACTATGCCCATTGTGACACATTTACCATGAACTTTTTTTTTGTGACACTAAAAATTCCAAACTATGCCCACTGTGACACATTTACTCCAAATTTTTTTGTTATACCAAAAATTCTAAACTTGTACTTGTGTGACACATTTACCCTCCATTATGTTTCCGTCATAAATCACCGTTAAAAGTCGTACATAGTTGCTGACTTGGACGACGGGCTTCAAACGGCGCTAACGTTGCGCCAACGTGGACTCAGTGGCGTGGCTGGAAAATTAGAGATAAACTCTCTATGCTCGATTTCTCTCTTCTGAAGCTCCATGCTATGTCTCTCTCTCACGTTGTTCGCTCGAGTGCTCTTTGAATCTCCATTTGTCCTCACGAATTTCCCTATTTTCCTCTCTTGCATTTGCTCCACAAAACTCGATTTAGGGCTTTAAGGTTAGTATCTCGATCGAATCTCTCTCTCAAGGAAGCTTGATTTTTTCGAACTCGTTTGCTGGCTGACTGGCCGAAGGTGATTTGCGGCTTTAGACTTTCGTATGTTCATTGTTTCTCTCTCTCGAGGAAGCTCAAATCGGTCGAAGTTCAATTTGTTCAAAGCTCATTTGCTCGCTAAAGGCGATTTGGGTTTTTTTAGAGGTTTCCTGTTTGTCGTCTCCATGGAGAAGGTCGACTCAGTGATTTAGGGCTTTTTCTAGTGTTTCTTGATGGTCTCGATTCACCAATATTTTGTGAGTATTTTCTTCACCGATGTTTACTTTTGAGGTTCTTGTTTTGGCAATTTCACTATTGTAGGGAATCGAAGTTCGTTGTTGGTCTAAGGTGCTTGATTCATGAGAATTACCAAGAATCATAGCATTATTCCTCTGCATTTTCGACTATTGTTGTATGTTCTCTTCCCAACATCTTTTTTTTGTGCCCTAGCTCATTCACTGTGGTTGGTTTGCGGATATCACGTGATCTGTATTGGCAGAATCTCTTGGGAGGATCATGTGCGAACGCAGCTGAGATCGGACTAATGTAGTCAATTATATGTGGCATTTTTTTCCAATTTAACAAAACATGAAAAAACATGCTTTTAACTTTTATTTGCTGCACCAATAGTTCTAAATTATCTTCTAGTGAATATGATCTAAATAAGAAAAATCTCTTTCCACATGGTCAAAGGAGCTTGATTCGTTGTTGAAGCGCAAGTGATCTCTCTCTCCGTCCCTCGATTACTCAAGAACCAATGCTATTCACATAGACTATTTAGCCTCTTTTTTATAATCTGCTGTTAAATTCTTAAAGTTTTATTTCCTAGAATTGAGATCATTTTCTTCATAATGATAGCTATTAAAAAACATATGTTGATATTTCTAGGTTGATGAAGAAAATTGATTTGAGGTTATCCGAAGTAGGGGCTAGGGCTGGGGCTAAGGTTGGTGCCAGTGCTAAGACTGCCAACCAGGGCAAAGCTGAAATTGAAGATGAGCTTAATA